CCGTGTGACTTGCAGCTGGCGGCGTGCCTTCGTGCATCGACCTATAGTCACGTCGCGTCTTCCCCCTAGAACTCGCCCTAGCCGGCGAAGAGACAGGCTGCGCTGTGAGTCCTCCAGACTCCGCACGAGCAGCGGGAGGCGCCTCAGTTTGCGCTAGGTCTGCCAACGCCTCTGCAGCATTAGCCGTGGCAGAGGCAGGGTATGTGGCACCATCAGCGGCAGCATCCTCCTTCGCTGAGCTCCGCGTGTTACGCAGCGGGAGGGAGAGGCCGCGCCTCGTGCGTTGCGAGGGTGCTGTTTTTGAATTTTGTTTCGCTGCTTGTTGCGGACCGCGGCCGCTGCTGCGGGTAGCCCTGGTGCCGACCACAGGGCGACCTGAACGGCCTGAGGGTGCCGCGGTCTCCCCCCCTGCTTTATGCGCTCCTCTTGTTGTGGGTGCCATGATGCTCAGAGTGGAGTGCGCCCCGCACACCCGGGGCGCGAAAGGAGCATTCAAAAATGACCACCCCCCCATGGTGGCTGTATTTTGGCGTTTTGGTTTTTCGGTTTTTGGATTTTTTAAAAATTGAACGCGGCTTAAAGCACCATGCATCACCCCGAAAGGGTCATGAACTAAGATTGGAATTGGGAACGATTCAACCGGCCCGGAAGCATTTGCTTGTGCTTCATCGGTGCACTCTTTGCATGTATTTGTTCGGTTTTTTTAACATGGCAGCGTTGACATTTTTTAGTTGTCACCCCATGGCGCGGATAGTTCTCATCAGTGAACATGCATCATAGACTACACAAAGTATTTTCCAGTCGTTTGAAACAAGCTTCCTTCGGTGAAGTTTGATGTTCTTGACATGCAGCTACAGCAGTTGTATACGGTAGCTGTCATCCGGAGTATCACAGCTTGCTGAATCGTCTTACGCACGCAAGTATGCATCAATCGCTCTACTACTTTGCACAGCACATGATAGGTCAACCTCATGTCGACTACGTGTTAACTTGCACGAGACGACGTCAGTCGGATCTTTGCCCAAGGAGCTTGTCATCGGAATGATTGGCAGTGTAGGGTAAGTTTCCGTCGGTAGGCTTGCTCGGATGGTGTCGCCCCCATCCTCTCTCTGACTCCGTTTTTCGTTTTTCCTACCACTCTCTACGACCAAATAATTAAACGCGCATTGTAACCTCTGGGATCTCTTCGTCGTCCTCGTGCGTGAGGTTTGCGGGCGCAGTTACCTCACGGAGGTTGATTGCCACGACCAGTCTAAGCTGCTTTGATACTCATCACGTGCGGATACATACGCTGTGCTCTGACTTCTGTTTGTGACCGACTGGAAGGCTAACGAAACATCAGACGTGATTCGCATCACGCTTTTTCTCCTGTCGTACGCACGATCTGTAGACAGAGACATCGAATCTTTTCTCTCTACACACACTTCCACGAGGCTGTGCTACATGGAAATATCATTATGGGAAGTACTCCACGTTCATCAGCTCCAAGCCTCTTGCACACAACACCTTCTCCCGAGACTTACACGCCCATCCATTGAACCAAATCCACACACACGCATACAACTGGATAGGATCTTCATGGATCTTTGTTGCACAGGTAGTCATGATACTCCTGAGCCCAGTTTATTGACGTCTTCGCTTCCATCCCAGCAGTAGATTCCTCGATCGGCGTCTTTTCGTGATGTCCCTCTCCCTCCACGAGACCATCCGTGTCTTCCCTTGACACACCGCTTGGCGTACCTGTAGCGTTTGGGGTAACCCTTTCAGCCTCCTCGGCTTCTTTCGGCGGAGCCCGAACCAGTTGTTTCGATCTGGCCTCAGAGGCCACACTTGACGCAGGAATCTCCCTCACGGTTGTTATCGTTCCTAGGACTGAGGTGCTAGTGCCGTCGCTCCTGCGACGGCTACCGTTGCGGGAGTCTTGGTCTCCGTCGCCGTCGCAAGCCGCTACCATATCGTTGACCTCGGCATGCCCGTCACCAACGGCTTTCCCCGCAGCGTCGTATTTAACTGTGTGCTTCGAACCATCTTCATACTGAGCGAGGTGCTGTTCCAGAGATGCGATAAATTCTCCCCGCAGCGCTGCATTGTTGAACGGCGGCGCCAGCAGTTTCGACAGGGCCGGCTCCGTTCCCTGGTGGTCCCCCGGTCTCGGGGGTTGCACCGCAGACGACAACAGGTCTACCGTTGGACGACACGGAGACGATTCCGTCGACGTGAAGGCAGAACCCGCAGCAGCGCCGACCGGTTTGCTCCCGCGAGTTCGCGCGCTGCGATTCGTGTGTTGATGGTGGTGCGGGTGCCGAGATGGCGGAAAAGGCGAGCCCGACTCACTAAAATCTTGGGTCGGAATCGTCACACTCGGTTCCATCGAAGCCGCCTAACATGTCAGACCAGCGGCATGACGGCGAAAGGTTAGATGAACACGGGGGCGCGATTTCGTAATGACAGGTTTCATATCGAAGAGTCTAACTCCCGCGGGAAGGCGTCACGAAAGAAGCCATCACGCGGCTATACTCCGTTCTTAAAATAACATGTCGCCGCGATATCAACTAAAGTACCAATGCACCTCGAGAAGAGATTTGTAGTTTTTTTATGTTAGGGCGGATACCTGCATGAATAGTCCGAATTCGCGCGCGAGCGGCGGTCCATGTCCATAATAAAAACCAAATTTCAACAGCGCGTTCAATTCACCCGACAGCCAGCACCCCCTCCCTTGCTTCCCCCCCTTCGGTGTTTGCCATCGGGGTTGGGTTTTCGTCGCTTGGCAACGACGTTGTAAAACAAGCC